ATATTTTGATGTTTTCCATGTAATATCCTAAAATAAAGTAAATATATATATTGTGAGTGTGTGTGTGTGTATCAAGTAGATTTACAAATTTGGAGGGCGTATTCCTCACAAAAAGACAAGGGAATCAGACCATGTCAACATATCCGCAAATCAATCGTTTTTTTTTTTAATTAAAATGTAAAGTAAATTTCTTGTAGATGGCGCTGTGTTGCCATTAAACAAGGTTATATTTGTCATTCGTTGCTTTGAATGTTGCTGCCATATCTGGTCTGGTTATCCTGCTCTACATTTAGAGATACATTTAGAGATTAATAAAATTCAAAGAATCAGCACTTTTATTGACCCTGACTTGGCATCTCAGCTTCAGTCAATTCCCCACCGGCATAACGTCGTTTCACTGCGCATTTTCTATAAATATGTTCGTGACAATTATTCTGGTGAACTTTTTTTTTCTCTGTGGTACCCAGACTTTGTGAATTTAATCGCTGTAGTAGATTGGAGACATAGTCTCCTCATTTTACATTTGAAATGGCTTGATGTAACCGGAAGTTCGATGCTAACAGTTTTTTTTCTCACACTTCATGCTTGTGGAACTCTCTTCTAGGTCCTTGCTTTCCAGTCAAATTTGCATTTAATTTTTTAAAGATCAGTATCAACCAATATCTACTGTATTAATTTTTCGGGCTTTTAATGTTTTCTCTCCTTAATCGTTATCTTTTTTTTTTCATATTCTGTGACACACAGTAACTCCTTACGTCTTAATTGCTCTGTTGTCTTTTATAGTGTGAAACGATTAAATACAGAGAATGGCTTATGTCAAACTATTACATGACTGCGTTACTATATATAAAACAGCTTTAGTCGATGCTCTATTATTCTTTTGAGTATGTCTATGATACACTATCTAACGAATCTAGATATACATGGCACAGTGCATAAAGGCGTTGCTTAGATCCAGTGACAGGAACCAGAGAGTGTGAGTTCAATACCTGGTTAAGGTGGTGAACTTGAAGAGGGGAATTAACAGAAGATAACTGATAAATGACATCCATTAGACATGGCACGTGGAACTAGAACAGTCTACCTCAGTGAGAGAAATAAAGGTTACAGTTCAACATTCCACCTGAAGATGGCCGGTGTTTTCAACGACCGAAACGTTGTAATGAATATGGCGACAAAGATAAGAAAAATAGTCCAAATAAAATATATATATATATATATTATCAACGGACAGTGTACGAAATAAAGGGTTCAGTTCGACATTCCAAGGCCGGAGCGTACAACGGCCGAAACCATTTAATAAATATGGCAACAAAGATGACAATAGTCCGAATAATGTAAAAAGTGAATCTAGGAAAAGAAAGCATTTATGTCTATTATCAATTATCCTTTCTATGTAGTGATCCTTTAAAGTATGAGACGTGGAGGCTCTGAAAAACTCTCACTTTTAGCTTTATTTAACATTTGACTGTTTTATGATCCCAATTTCTCCTCGATCCTTCATCCCCACATAAAAGAAACTTATTTAAATCACTCGTCTTTGTCTCTGGTTTTACATTCTGTTAGTGCAAATTTATCTAATCTTTCTATCTTCTTTCTCTATGGCGGAAATTTCATCTGCTTTTTCCCCCCACTGATTACATAATTTGTCCTTTTAGTCATCATCTACGTTAAAACTTACCCGTTGATCATTCCGTCTTGTTATAAATGTTTGTCTGTAAAAGGATTTTTTCTCTTTATCTGTGAGGAAATTTCCCGGCATTCATTGTCACATGAGAAGATTTCTAACGAATTTTTTCCTACCTCTAAATACTTCGTTTCTTGACGTAATTTCTAAGTCTTCCGGTGAGCTTTGCAATCTATATTTCACATTTTTCCTTCGTCTGTCGTTGAACTACGAAGATAGTTAATTTTTCTGCACCTGCTCGATTTTTACCTGAAATATTTTCTCCGTGTTAGAATATGAGAATAAACAAATCACCGGCTCACTGTTTTGACACGCTACTATATGTTAAAGTGAAAAAAATAAACAAAACATTGTTGAGATCTTGCATATCAACTGTCAACGCTACTTCTCGGCAATTGAAAAAGTGTTACTTTGAGATAAGTTTAATCTCCAAGATATTCACTACGGAATCGGTTCATATAGTCCAGGAGACCTGGAAAATGTATGTATTTTAGGGATACATTATTACATCGGTACGTATATAATCTTACATAAATTTATGTTTAAACACATAAATGTATAAAGGCATGGGAAATGACTATATATCTACTTCAATTAATATACAAGTTAAGCTTAAAAAATTCGTACTGTATATAATGTGATAGATGGATACTTTGTTCTTGGGTATATTCGTCTGCTACAACGGATAGCTGATCCGTTTTAGACGCCTGCTCAGGCTCAATTGTGTTTCTTCCGCACCCGCAAGGCCCAACTGTGGTTTATGTTTCAACTATTCAGAGCAGGCCTTGTTTACAGTGTCTAATAGAAATCGTTCATTCTATACCAGGTATGACGATAAACGACGTCCGCGTCCTGGGTAAGACGATAAACGACTTCCAACAGCAAGACCTCTGATCAGGAGGTTTTGAGGAGCGTGAAACCACTTCGTAATTGCTGGTGTTCCCACGTCCACCCTGACCCGGGGTAGTAGCACCTGTTAGGGTTCAAACTCTGGGCAAATAGTTAACCCCCAAATTGGGGTCAAAACACTATGAAAGTGTAAAAATAGGCCTTAATACCAGAAATACTTTCTAAAAGAAAAAAATTATTACCAGCAATACATTATTACCAGCAATACATTTTAGGCAAAAAAATTTTATCAGAAATACTTTAAAAAAATATTATGAGAAATAGATTTTTTTGAAGGAAAACTATTATCAGCAATAAAAGATTTGTCGGCTTTGAAGGACCCATTGAGGTTGATATGCCGTAAAACAAACCAAACCAAACCATATACCAGAATAATAGTGAGCAAAAATATACATCAGTCGTAAACTTCTTTCTTGAATGGATCTCTGTACATAACTGTTTTATGAAAAATAAAAAAAATCTGTCTTGCATATAAACGAGAACATATGTGATTGGTTTGTAAATCAACGAACACCGGTTTATATCAATGTTAAAAACGACTTGGCACTCTGAATTGAAATTTAAATATGGACGTAGGGAGACGCAGTTTCGTATCCTGCCGGAAGGCATGTTTTCTTTCATGTTTTTTTTTCTCGATTGCACATGCCGGTAGATAAAATAAACACTGTTTAAAAAATGAAGAAGTGCCATCTAACTCAAATAAGGATATCAACAAAAATAACGTTTAACGTAGTAAATAAAATACCTCGGACCATAAAATCCTTTATAGTATATCTAATTCAAGCTATTTTTATTTTGTAGATAAATAGACAGATTAAAACAACCTATCATACATTTTATTAAGCATTTCAAAAATGTAGTGATTCACTTACGACTATGGATGTAGAATTATTATTCAATATATTTCCTTTTCAAGAAAATATTCATAACATAATAATAAAAAAAATGTTTATCTTATAAATCTTAAAGAAAAGACAACGATTTCAGGGGACAGACTTATTGATCTTACCTCGTATGTAAGTAACATTTCCGAGACTCTAACCAAATTAGTGTCTTCGATTATTCGATTATACTTCGATTTCGAAGTGTAGTCTGAGATTCTCATTTTCCTCAAAATCGTTCTAATAGCAAATTAAGCGGCCATTTTGTTCACAACTTAAAAATGTTATTCAAGTTATTTCACAGTATAAATTCCCATATATATATATATATATATATATATATATATAGAACAGTAAGATATATAATCCGATGTTCTTATGGATAATTTTATTTTTACAAAATAGTGCTCAATGTAAATTTACAGAGCATTAATATTATAAATTAAATGATTTAAAATATGGTTTTTCGCTACACAGTTCTTACCATGTTTCAAAGATGGAAGCTAAATGCTTCGAATTTAATTTTGTAATTAAATTAAAGACATTAGTTCCATTTCATCCTCAAGCGAATTTTGGAGTAACTTATTTTTAAATTTACTGGGTTTTAAATGCACGGCAAAAAAATCATAATTTACTGTTTCCAAAACTCAAAATTTTGGCACAGTATTACCAGACAGAAGAATTTTGTTGGTAACAAAGAGTACTGGAATACTACGTGGTATCAGTCCTCCTTTACGGCGGCGAATGTTGGACGGTCTCCTCAAAGATGAAGAGACTCGAGGCAACAGAAATATGGTTCTATAGAAGAATGCTAAGGGTACCATGGACCTAACATTTGAGCAACGACGAGGTTTTGGAGAGGATACGAATAAAGAGAAAACTCTTACTTGAGATCAGTAAGAGGCAACTGAAATTTCTGGGACATGTAATGAGAAAAGAAGGTTTGGAAAATCAGATAGTCACAGGGCGAATAGAGGGAACAAAGAACAAGGGAAAGCAACACCTGACATACTTGGCGGGCTTAAGCAAGTGGGTGGCAGAACAAGGTCTGGGAGAAGTAGCAAAAGACAAAACTTATTGAGTACTAGAAGGAATAGGAGGAAGTGGAGGGCCATAATCACCTACGTCCTGAAGAGATACAGCACAAAATTGAAGAAAGTTGCTCTAAATAAATATTCTTACAGACTCCACTTGCATTTTCAAATTATTTTTTCTATATATTTTTACTCGTGTAAGATATATACTTATTTTCATATATATATATATATATATATATATATGGCGCGGGAGAGTCATAAATAATTATCCTGCCTAGTGTGTATTTCCTCCATAAGCTAGTCTTAACATTCTCATGAACAGTGAATCGTCGCTTGTGTGTGTGTGTGTGTGTATATATATATATATATATATATATATATATAATATATATATATATAAAATATATAACTATAGACTTTTTCTATTTTAATTTATTTTAGTTTTCATTATTTTTTATTCATTCTCTCTATAATCTGACACGAAACATGCTTAGACCCGATAAGGTTTAGATTAAAAATTAGCTTCCAAATCTCAACGGATTAAATCCTATCACATCATGGAAAGAACTCGTTTCTTCCACAATTACTATTTTCCGCAACATGTTCATTTTGTTCCTTCTCCCCAGCTTCTATAGACATTACATCCTGCAACGATGGATGTTGTAATATGATATGCTCTTAAAAAAATGGAGAACCAGCTTTGAGAAATTACAAGTGTCATTAACATTAACAAAAACACATTTGTCTTGCTTTTGACATGGGTGTGTGTTTTGCTTTTTTTCTTTTCTTTAAAATTTTTTGTTATTTTCGGGAATTTGTTTTGGGTAATTTTTATTTATTTTTTTTTTTTTACGAAGAATCTGCCTTGTCTTAACAGGAAAAATATATCTTTCTTTTTTTTTTCTTTCTCGTGTGTGGTTGTTAACGCAAGTGATGATAGACATTTATTTTCACTGATACTTATATGCAGGTAAACATTAGTAACTCATTCAAGATCTGAACTCGAAACTTTGAATATATAAATTGTAATGTGACTTTGAATATATAAATTGTAAATCAGATTTTAAATCTTTTTACAGTTTTATTTTTCTTCTTTTGAAAATATCGAAGCTTTTACGCCAATCTGTGTATTCTCACCCCATTTTTTTTTCATTTTTTGGTGTTGATAATCTCGAATACATACACTAAAGTTCAAGAGATTGAGGCAACCACCGTTAATCTTTTTAAATTGACCCAAAATGTAGTTTTGTACTTTAAATGAGATGTGACGTCGTCCCCCGGTCGCAGCGTCGACTATGTCGTTCGATCCCGGTCGCGGCGCCAACTGTGACGTGACGTGGTCCAGGGTTCTGATCCTATGGTCACGACACCAGCTGTGACGTCACGTGCTCCCCATGCTCTGATATCCTGGTCACGGACAGCACCAGTTGTGACGTCTTTGCCGCAGCATCAGCTGTTCGCTCCTCGCTGCTCCAAACGTGACGTTCTAACCCTTTGGCTAGATGAATACAAGCCTCGTTGTTCCCAACCCGCTTCCAACGCCTGGTTACCAGGGTAACTGCACTGATCTCCAGTCTGCCTACCCACGTTGTGACTTGATCTTAGACAGACGAGATCAAACAGGGGTTGGGGCCGTAATGCAAGCTGAGTCTAACGGGGGTGATAACACACAATTATGTATAATAAAAAAGAAATAAAAAACTCACAAGGTCCAACGTATCAAGAAAAAGGTAACAAACTTTTATGTCTATTTGCTCGGTACATAGGACTAGGTCTACTTCCCGACCCGTTCTGTGGATTGTGGCACAACGCTTTTACTAGGCAACTTTAAGGCTTCCAGTTGTCTGCTCTCTAAGAAATTTGTGTTTCGGTGTTTCTTTGGACGAAAGTCGAAAAAAAAACTTATTTCTGTGGGCTGATTTTAAGTCGCTCTTCAAAGTACTTGTTCTTGGTTGATGAAGAGTCCAGAAGTGTGCGTGAATCTTGGTCAGCTATCTTGACGCGGTTTCAACACTGGGCGCTCATCTCTGCTTGTCGTCCACGGCTCAAACTCCAACTCAAACTTTCTCGCCGTCCGCTCTCAAACTCCAACTCAAACTCTTCAGAGTCTGAATTACTGGTCACTCATCTCCGCCGTCAGTGCGCGAATTAACTTCTTCTTAGGCCAAACGAGCTGGCCTCTCTTGCCCGCAAGGGGGCGAATGAACCGGGCCCAACGCCCGCGCTCAAACTCTCTCGCCGTCCGCGGCGCAAACTCTGATTTCTGTCGGTTGGGGTCTCGCTTTTATTGACGCAGTCAAAACTGGGGTGGGTCTGTCGTCGCCAGGGTTTTCTCTTCTGATAATTCTAAATACGTATCCACCCTTCTTATTTCTGGTTAGGGATTTTCCATTTTCGGTAACTCACTTTCATCCCACTTACTTATTGTGTCTCTGAGGGCGTATACCCGCTTCCCCGCTTCTTCGTATGTCATGTGACCGCTTTCGGCCAATGAGGTCCTGGTCGGGTATCTTTCCTCCTCCTTCGTGTGTCATGTGATCCCATCTAGCCAATGACGTCCTTAGTCGGGCGTGGACAATCCGTGGCTTTGTTCTGGGGGAAGAAACACCTTGCTTAAAAAAAAACAAATTTAAATCGCCCTTATCATAAGCGACTGCGATGACATCTTCGGCTTTTTAACACGTGGTATTTGTCAAGCAGTTTATCGCTAATTGGATATGACCTAAGAAAGGGATTTCTCAGACCTGTTGGTGTTTCCGTGAACGAATAAAAATATTTCACTTTTTCCCGACCAAAGGCCCGATAATAAAAATTTTCATTATTTCAAAAAAACATTTTCAGCGAACATCATCTTGTGTGGCTTTTTCCAATTCTGGAAATTGTCTGTGTTTTCGTATTAATGGTTTGTCTTCATATCCTTAGATACACTTCCCACCTGTTACCTATCAAATATTTTTCATTGTCCCTAAACTTCGTTTCTTCAACCATTTGATAACAAACTTCCATTTTTCGTGGACACGGAAGTAGGTCAGGTGCTTGACCTGGATATCTTTCGACATCTGTTATATGTCAGCCAAGCGTGTGTGTGCTCGCTTATGACCTGTTTTCGTATTATTTATTTCTTTTTTTCTTTTTCTCCCAGATCGCTTGAATGTAAAGAAAGAATTATTCCTAACCCCGAAATATTTTTCACCCTAAATAATTATCAAATGGTTGACAAACCGTAAAAAACAAATCATATATTTATGAATATTTCTTTTCAGCTCGCTAACTATGCATGGTGCCACAAAGAGAATATTTTATACATGGTTAAAAACAAGTCATATATGATTTTTTTTAATTATAAATATTTTTTATGACGAAAAGAAAAAGTTTGACGAAAGCAAAATTTAAGAAAACCATCTTCATTTAGCCTTTATTACTGTAGTACAGATTTTTGGCCTTCGTTGCAAAACTTTCCAAAGAATGCTTTTTTTTTTTTCTTTTTTTTTCCCCACTCTTATTTGAAGTTCATCCCATGATAATTTTGGGGGTGGCTTCAAAATATTGAACTGCAATACATATGTCCGGAACGGATGCAAATGTTTTTGACTGAATATTTGGATAAAGCAGCGTTATATTTATTTTAAACTTATTTTTACATTACTTTTCTTTATTTGTCTTTTCGATTTTTTTTTTTTTTTTTTAATATCACCCATGTCTTAAGCTGTTCGTTTTCACCTCAAATCTAATTTTATGTTTTGGCGTGTTTAATGATTGTCTGGTTTAGAAAAAAACAGAGCAAAAACAACGAAATCCAAGAAGATAGAAAGAAAATGAAAATTGACAATATTGCGCCTAATATCTATAGTTAGCTTATTGAAAACACAAGTTGTTTTTTTTTAAGATTCATATCTTTAATATCTTACTTTTCTAAAAGTTCGTAGATATCTAAAAAAAAAAAAAAAAAAAATCTAACTATTCTTGCAAGCTTTTTCCCCCACAAAATCAACTCTGATTTGTGTGCAGTTAGAAGTCATTGTTGTCCTTTCGCTTCAATGAAGACCCTGTTTAGTATCTCACTGGATTCGGGGATGCTACTTGAAGAAAATAGAAAAGAAATAATCTTCCAACACAGCGCTAGAAATGTTAATTTTTTTAATATTTTTATACATTTATTTGGAAATTTATTAAGTGTAAATAATGATCATTGTTTTCTTTTTAAGATGAAAGAAACAATTTATAAAGTTCCTTGCAAACAAAGTTAATAAGAACACTGTTTTTTTCTTTTTACAACACAAAATAGTTTGTATAGTATGAAAGCGATGTGTGAAATTATATCGGCCATATACAAAACTTACGTTACATTATCTGTGTGTGAGGGAGTTACCATCAGCTCCATGATAGTCGTAGATATAACCAGAAAGAAAAAAAAAAACCAAACACCATCTCAAATGCCGAAATTTATCAAATAAAGTGTCTACAGTGCAAAAAATGTACGTGAGGGAGATATCACGTGATCTAAAAACCTGTAATATTAACACGAGTGCGACTTGCGTTTAGACATTCTCTTTCATTTACATCGAAACGACGTGAGGCATAACTTGATTTCACTGATGCCAGCCTAATTAAAAAAAAAGAGCATAAACTGTTAAGGAGAAAAATCATTCATGAATCTAAACGAAGAAAGATAATGAACATATACAAATCTTTCAAAATTACGCACGAGAAATGCTTTAATCATAAATACGACCCAACATCAATAGGCAATCTCCCTCACTCTCGCAATCTCCCTCACTCTCGCAATCTCCCTCCACTCCCTCACTCTCACCAATCTCCCTCACTCTCAATCTCCCCACTCGCAATCTCCCTCACTCTCGCAATCTCCCTCACTCTCGCAATCTCCCTCACTCTCGCAATCTCCCTCACTCTCGCAATCTCCCTCACTCTCGCAATCTCCCTCACTCTCGCAATCTCCCTCACTCTCGCAATCTCCCCTCAATCTCCCCTCAACTCTCACCAATCTCCCTCCTCTCCTCTCCCCTCCTCTCGCAATCTCCCTCACTCTCGCAATCTCCCTCACTCTCGCAATCTCCCTCACTCTCGCAATCTCCCCCTCACTCTCGAATCTCCCCTCACTCTCACTCCCCTCACTCTCCCTGATCCCCTCACTCTCGCAATCTCCCTCCTCTCGCAATCTCCCCTCACTCTCACCAATCTCCCTCACTCTCAATCTCCCTCTCCCCAATCCTCCCTCACTCTCACCAATCTCCCTCACTCTCGCAATCTCCCTCACTCTCATCAATCTCCTCACTCTCAAATCTCCCTCCTCTCGCAATCTCCCTCCTCTCACCAATCTCCCTCTCTCACAATCTCCCTCCTCTCCTCTCCCCTCACTCTCAAATCTCCCTCACTCTCATAATCTCCTCACTCTCAATCTCCCCCTCACTCTCACCAATCTCCTCTCGCAATCTCTCCCTCACTCTCTTAATCTCCCTCCCTCTCAAATCTCCCTCTCTCCTAATCTCCCTCACTCTCGCAATCTCCCTCACTCTCGCAAACGAATGAACTTTTCCGTACAAGATACACCTAGAGAACAAGCGTTTCTTTGCATGCATACCCACTCATACAATATTATTACACAGTTCATCATCCTTGCATGCGTACCCACTCATACAATATTATTACACAGTTCATCATCCTTGCATGCGTACCCACTCATACAATATTATTACACAGTTCATCATCCTTGCATGCGTACCCACTCATACAATATTATTACACAGTTCATCATCCTTGCATGCATACCCACTCATACAATATTATTACACAGTTCATCATCCTTGCATGCGTACCCACTCATACAATATTATTACACAGTTCATCATCCTTGCATGCATACCCACTCATACAATATTATTACACAGTTCATCATCCTTGCATGCATACCCACTCATACAATATTATTACACAGTTCATCATCCTTGCATGCATACCCACTCATACAATATTATTACACAGTTCATCATCCTTGCATGCATACCCACTCATACAATATTATTACACAGTTCATCATCCTTGCATGCGTACCCACTCATACAATATTATTACACAGTTCATCATCCTTGCATGCGTACCCACTCATACAATATTATTACACAGTTCATCATCCTTGCATGCATACCCACTCATACAATATTATTACACAGTTCATCATCCTTGCATGCATACCCACTCATACAATATTATTACACAGTTCATCATCCAAAATGCTCCTCTCATATTTATACATTACTCGTAGTAGAGCCCGGCTTTGCCCGGGGATGTAACAACAAGAGATAGATGAAGTATCGACCATCATAAAGACTGAAAAATAAAATTGACAAAGATTATTGTTTAAGGTTAACGGACACGCATGTCTTAATTAGATTTTTTTTTTTTTTTTTTTTGAATTTGTCAAAACTCAAACAAAAACATTGTTTTCAATCGTTATGAGTCTGCCGATTGAATAGAATTTTATTATAAACAATTGTCTTGTAAATGTAATTGTCTTTGAAAGCATTCTGAATGTACAAATAAAGAAAAAGTGTGCAAGACAATAAGAAACACTACTTGCCAAAAAAAGTGAATTTTTGTAGGAAATTCGATCCCATATATAAACGAACACACACACAAACAACCTGGGTGTTATAATAAATATAACAAGATGTTAGTTGTTTCCCCCTTTCATTCTGGCGACAGAATCGTGTTTTAAAATTGATTTCGTGCAAAAAAAATTGTTTTCTAATTTTGGGCGCTGTCAGAACCAACGCAAGGTAATTTTACGCAGTCCTGTGAAGTTTTGTTGAAATCTGTTGAAAAATGTAGGAAATCCGATCCAATATATAAACGTACAGACACACACACACAATCTGCGTTTTATAATAAGTAAGATCTATTGCGTTAATGCAAGTGACATGTATCAGACCAGTAGAAGGTAACCAAGATCATAGTATACCATTATTGTGTCAATTTGCCGTTTTCATTTTTATCTTGAAGGTGGTTCTATGCGCCTCTAATCCTCACGATTAGATTGCATGCTGCCTGATGTACTGTCATACTGAGGACGAGAGGAATACATGATGACAATTACTGAGTAAATTTTGAAAGAACGCGGTATGAAAACTATTATTTATTAAATCATTGAATAGAAAAAATGAAATAATAATTTCATTATTTATACACGTAGGTATCAAATTCATTTCAAGAGAAGACGTGTAAAAACATATCGACTCGCACGTTGTTGAAAATGTGACTAACATTTCTTCGCTTTAAGGATCTATTGTTTTCTTTTCCGTCATTAATGGATAAAAATATCAACTTTCGCCTATCGGATTACAGCAAATTGCTATTACACAGAGAAAAAGAACAAGAAGAAAGCAAGAAGAGAAAGCAAAAGAAAATCTAATGCAACAATCCGTGCAGTGCATGACAGGACTAAATTATTTCGATACTGCAGAAAAAAAAAATAACTGAAAAGGATTCAGTAAATCGATCAGCGTACATAGTGTCTTCTATGGATCAATAATAAATTCATAATATGATTTTTAAAGTTTCCGGTTGAATTCAGTCTCTCTCTCTCCATATATATATATATATATATATGTGTGTGTGTGAAAAGTGTATCTAAATATAAATAAATATAAGTATGTATAATTATTTATATATTATATGCGCGGTACTTATTAGAAAGCGCTCAATATCAGAGATAGAGCTAACATATTTGGTTGGATCCAACCATATATATATATATATATATATATATATATGTGTGTGTGAAAATATATAGAAAATAGGAAGGAACTGGTTAGGTAAAAAATCCAAAGTCCCTTAGTATTTTAGTTATTATTTTTTAAAATAGTGCTCGATACAAAAGTAGAGCATAAATATAATTATTTATTTAAAATATGATTCCAAATCGCTTTGTAGCGATTTGGAATCATATTTTTAAATAAATAATTATATATATATATATATATATATATATATATATATCTCGCAGATATGGCAGGGTTATATATCCCTACATATATAAACGCTCACTCCATCCTCCCTTCTTTCTCTCCCTTTATCACACAAAGAGATACACACACGTATACGTACGAACACACATATATAACATAAAATCATAAAAAAATATTAAACAGTCCTTTTCGATTGAAAAAAAAAGATATATATATATATATGAGTTTTTTCTTATAATCACTTATAGCGCAACTCAATCTTCAGTTACTGAATAGACTAACCGCTACATATTTTAAATTTTGATAAATGATTTCCTAAGCGTAGCTTGGATGTGGCACAAGGCCGAAAGTATGGGGCACGCAGTGAGAATCAAACTCACTCGTAATTGATCTAGCGAGTCAAACTTGCTAACTATTGCCCAACGTCTATATGCCCATTTTGATAGTTATGTCTGGCTAACACAATGTCGGTGTAGTCCATATATTATACGCGGTTTACTGTTATTTTTATTTTTTTTATTTAAAATGTGATTTATATTTTGAAGGATGTTCAAAAAGCGTTTCAAGAGTGCAATTGAAAAAAATTGTTCGTAAATTCAAACAAACAGGGTCGCTGGCAGATGTGGAAACACCATTGCGGGCTCGTTTACGCCGTTCAGCTGAAACCATTGCTGTAGTGCACGAAAATGTGGGCGAAAATCGAGACCCCTCTATCCGTCATCGCGCGCAGGAATTGACCCTCTCCACAACAACGTTACATCGTTTCCAATTGCACTCTCGGTTGGTCGATTATGTTGACCCAAAAAATCGAGAAGTGCGCGAAATGCATTTCTGTTTGAACGTCCATATTCGTAATAGGCCTCGATAACTTTAGCACGTTGTTTGATTGGCAATTTCAATCCTGGAAAGATTAAGAAAGACTTAAGTTGTTAAATCTAAAAGAAAACGATCATTAGACGCTTAAATTTAATTCACATTTAAAATCGGTTCAAGTTATTAGAACACCCTTTTGATTAAAATAAACAGATTGTTTTTTTTTTTTAATTTTGTATTTAAAATAAAAAGACCTATAACTATAAAAAAAAACAATTATCAATGCATATATACAAATAGGTAGAAGAAAACTAATATCTAATGGAAAGACACACACACGTGTGTGTATATATATATAAGCTAAAAAAGCTTCCATTTTTTAAACATGGTTAGAACTGTGAAGCTAAAAACCATGTTTTAAATCAGATAATTTATAATATTAATGCTCTGTAAATTTACATTGAGCACTATTTTGTAAAAATAAAAAGATCTATAAGAACACCGGATTATATATATATATATATATATATATATATATGTTATTTTTAATAAATAATCACATTTGATTAGATTTTTTTTTTTTTTTTATTATAAAACTGTATTTATTTACATCTACCGACTTGAATATTAGAGAAATTTTGTTCGAAAAAAATTCGAACCTGCGTCCCTTAGGTTAAACCGTTAATAGATCTGACATGTCTTGATCTTTCGGCCACATAGGATCTTTTTCACAATCAATATTCGGACTTTGTTTGATACAATAAAAATCTTGAATTAAAATTAATACTTTAGAAATATATAATTTTAATCATATGGTATCTACGCATTAGCCAATCTCCCAGGACTATGTAGAAAGACAAAGTACAAGCCGTTAAACAGATGAAAAGTATATTGGGTAACTGAGAAATTGAATGTAGTGATTTACTGAGCATTTGAATCAAATGCGCTCTTCAGTCGTAGGTGATCTCGCGAGACAAGCTTGCTAACCATTACACCACCTCGTGGTGCACCGATAGATTGAATATTGCATACGTATTAGCAGACTGCGAAAATTATAAAAACAAATAGATGTGGTAAGAAAAAAAAATGATGGTACCAAATAACAAAAGAAAGTAAATACAGTTTTGGCCAGAGTAAAATAGAATTATTTATCGATTTTGACCGAGTTGTTAGAAATAAGCAATTTCAACGGAAAGACAGGCACTGTCTGTCCAGTCTGTGTGTCTGTCCAGTCATTCCGGATTTATTTTATTCCTATGATGGAGAAAAATTGATCAGTTTTATTTTTATTTTTTGTTTTCAATAAAATATTTGTCCTGGATTAATAGAATATCAGGAACAGGCTTTGGAGGTCATTATCTTTTCTTCCCAGCATATAAATTTGATAGTGTCTTCGATATTATTATTATTATTATCATTGTAATTTTCTAATGTTTGGTATATTTTGATTTGTGGATGTATTAATAAAATGTTGTCTATCCATTTGCAATGAATGAGCTTTTGGGTAATATATATTTGTACGGACCGAATTCTACCGATTCTAAGAATAAGACTGCAATTTCACTATTTATAGATGGATGACATTGCTCAAGTGAAATTTTGTTTGAAAAAATTGTTGTTGAAAAAAAAATGGTGGCATATATGTATTGTTTCATTGACTGTTAAATGAGGTTTCTCTTGGTTTAGTTATTTGGTTAGTGATCTTAAAAAATAACTTGTGAAAAAATTCAAAACGTCTAATCTAAGTCTTAGAAATAATTCAGTATCACTCATATTCACCGTACATAAAAATAATGTTCATGAATATTCATGTCTATTAAGAGATTGAAACGCCAAAAATAATAAAAAGAATTAAATTTTTACATCGATCACTCACAGCACATACTTTCGTAATGTAACTTGTCATTTGACAGTACAATCGCGCACATACAGATCAACATATCACATACAAAAATAATATGATAAAATATTAAGATAACACCAAATATTATATAGGGATAAGCTACTATAATTTCATTTTGACCGTTGCAGATTGTCACATTTAAGTGACCTTAAATTTTAATTCAAATGAACATTAGAATGTTTACGTTATTTTTTTTTAAATTCTAACATACAGCTTCAACAACATTCGGTAGTTGGAAAAAATAAAATAAAATAAAATGTTGGACACAGACCTTGTCGATATTGTCAAAAAATATGTTTGAAAGAATTATTTCTACCTAAATGTATCACATCTAAACATAAATGCCAGGAAATAAAAGATGAAATTCTGAACGCTTATCTCATATACATCCTTTGATCTTAACATCTTCAAAGAACATTAAAAACAAAGGAATACTTTCGTTCCTATATATATATATATATATATATATATATATATATATGCTAACTCTATTTTCATAACGGAAACGTACAAACAGGAATTTTTTTTTAATTTGACATTACAGTAGAATCCCTGACAACTGGACTAAGAAGGCCTTCCGGATATTAGGGGTTATATTTAGATTAAAATA